TTATTTCTTTGAACTATTGAAATATAAAATATTTTATTATATTTGCTAATAATTTCATCGTTTATGCTTGAAAAGTGTAATCGAAGCAAATCGCAGTAAACCACATAAATTTTGTGATTTACTTCGATCACAAAATCCACATTAAACCATACACTTAGTTGTACTCAGTTCCTGGTATTATCTGATAATCATTCCAATTTAAATTTGATCTTTAAAAGTTTATCGATCTTTGAACTTGGATATACTTTATTAAAGCCTTAAATTTTTTTAAATAATATTATTACATTATTAAAATACATGTACATTTATTAAATAAATGAGTCGATAGTTTTTGAGTTTGACACAATTTACCGAACTGGGATATATGTTTGAATTTGATCATTAAGTAGAAATGCGATTATCAAACCTAAACTAAGTAGTAATGCCGTAATTTAAAAAGAAGGTTTGGGTCGTAACCCTATCTGGAATAAATGTTTCCCATTCCCTAGGAACAATCGCTTTTCTATCTATCTTCTTGCGATGTTGAGTCATACCTAGCCATCCGGTAGGTCTGTCATAATTTTCATCATTCTGTATCCTTCCCCGATCATAATTCTGTGCAAATTTCAAAATCTGGCCTTCAATAGCTTCAAGACGTGCTTTCATTTCTTCAGATATTTTACAATGTTCATTATCATATTTAGCATGCCAAGTAAAAACGCGTTTTGCTGGATTAATTGCAAATGGGCCTGATACTGCGAGAGCAAAAAATTCCGGATATTTAGTCAATAGTATTTCAAGGTAATAAACTATTATTTTGGCATGATGCAAGCAGATTGCAGGAGAAACCGCAGAGTAAGGTACATCAGCGTACTGATCTGGTGGCTTTAAATATCTGCCATGGAGAAGAATAATGATGGTGCAGAAAAAGATATGCATATCGCCTGGTGAAAATGAAAGTAAATATTAAGTCGTTATACGATTTAGTAAAGGTAAAAAAATAAAATAAAATAAAGTATTTCACCTCCGATGCCATTTAATAAAATTCCATCAGGATCTTTCATGATTACATCACATTTTAGCCATTGTGGTAGTGCGTGGTTCCAACTTGCCAGTGCAGCATCCAATACACGAAATTTGTTTTGGTCGTCTTGCATCAAGAAGTTTAATCTTGATGCAGCATGTAGATATTTCCGCACCCTTGCGCAAATCCGGCTGAGATTAATTAGATTAATGTAAGCAATTTCGAGTCGCGCATTTTCGTCTAAGTTTTGATCATATTGATCATATGGTATTCTAGGTACGTCTATATTACAATCAGTTTCATCAATCATATTTGGTCGGCCGTAAGTTGTAGTCACAAAACTTGAAATGATTTCAAATTGTTAAAATTGTTAGACAATTCCTTTATAAAGGCAATAAAAAATTTTTTTGCTCACTTTTCAGAAATGAAAGTCATCCAAAACGCTTCGTTTCTCAATCTTTCAACTTCATCCATCTTAAGTATTAAATTCCTACATTTGCGATGCAACCCAAGCTCAATCAGCATTTTAGTTGCTATTCCATGATACGTCCATGCTGTGCCTGTCTGTTATATATATATAATTTGTCATCATAATTATAACGTAGGTATAATATAGATTAAGTATCGAAATTGATTAAATTGTATGTACCTGCTTATTATGGCGACTTAAGATAACTATCGATATTACTGTCAAAACATGTGGCTTTGTACAATATTCATAAAGTAGTTCTGGATAGCGGTTAAAGAAATTTCGAATCTATTAATTAAAAAATTCGTGTAACAATGATAAACGGAATTTTTGATATCCTCCATTCAATATAATAAATTGCTAATCGTTTACCTTCTGCTCGATCAAAATATATGTTTCCATCTTGTTTTTCTGGATCATCATGGAATGGTGATGCAACGCAGAATATGCAGTTTAGTAATAACAAGTGCTGTGGCCTAAGTAGATTGTGTATAGCATCCCAGATAACTTGTACTTTTAACGCAGGAAAATATCGATGGACGTGCTGGAAAAAAAAAGAGAATGGTTATTAATGACTAAATTGAATGTATAAAAACATCATTTAATTTACTTTAATTTACCTTAAAGTATAAGTTAATTAGTTGTTCAATTGTTTCCAAATTGGGTAAGACTTTGAGTGAATCGTCAACGACAGACAAATCATCTTGCTGTTCTGGAATTATTAACTCATTATTATCATCATCTAGCATCAGTAACGAGCCCTCTCCAACGTAACGGGTTGATTCATATAGCCTTAAATTGTTGATTGACGATGTAAGATCGTTCATTGCAGAGTCTTCAGATATTTGAGGAACCTGCTGTGTAAGTGCGGCAAAATCAGCGTGGTTTATAAAATATGTTGGATCGTACTATCGTATCGGGGGTAAAAAGTGCCAGGAATAATTCGTTCCGGCCATTGTCAGAAGTTAAGTCAATTGGCACATTTATCCGCGGATTAGCTGAATATGGAAATAAATTTGAATACATACTTGACATTGTTCAGATGGTCTTTGAATGTTTGATACGATATTAATTGAATTTTGAAGAACTTCAGAGGTGATCACAGAAGTACCATCCTAATAACATAAAATTGTTAGAACTTCCCTAATTGTAAATTGTTTGAATGAATCAACCAACTTACAATGTTGCTAAATGTATTATCACCCGGTTGAACTGTTACCAATGGCCTCGCTAACATTCCAGGAATTTGAGGGCTATCAATTTCGACACCAGGAGGAACACGTGCTGCCATTGCCAAAAATCCGGTTTCTTCGAACAGTTGACCAAACTGTATTCCCTGTAAATAATTCAACTGATTCTGAAGGCAAGTTGAATCAGGCAGAGAGCCTAGACCTTGCTGGTCTCTCATTAAAACTGTTCGATCCGCGTAATTGTAGCTGCAAGGCCTGCGCGTTTTCTTGCAGGTTCCACATTCAGGACGTTCTTTATCACATTTAACCTTACGATCTTTACAGTTATCGCACGTTAAAACCAGCTTAACTCTCTTTGAACTTGTTAAGGGACGAAGATACGTGCTAGCCATTTTTTCGATTGAAATAATGATTGAAATGATCTCTTCCCTTTTGTAAAATTTATAGTGACACAGGTGTACAGTACCAACATCAAACATTTCCGGGAACTCAAATGCGATTTAATTGAAATAGTAAGGCTATTATTATACTGTATGTGGTATTAACAAAGAACCATGAGCTGGCGTTTGTTCTTTTTTGGTTCTTATCATTATATAAAATCATCTTTTGTGTTCATTAAAGCCCAAAAAGTTATCTATTACCAAATACTTGACTGATGCACAGAGGCTAATGTTTCGTATTTATTTCTGTACGTATCGGTATTTATTACAGTATTATCTTATGCTGAACAATCTATTATTATTAACCTTTATACGTATCTCTATCTCTATAATTCTTTGTTATCAACATATATTACGTTCTGTATTATAATTTTCTCTAAACGTAGCAAACACTTAATGTTAATGAATAATTTTTTTATAATTTGGTCAATCTATGCGCATGTCCTCAAGAAAATCGATTTTTATTGGTTGTTTATTTGAAAAAAATATTGTTTTACAATAGAATTTTCTAATCTGAATAGACAAAAAAGTTTTCGTAACTAGTTATGTAAAATCACATTTTAGAACCATATCTTTCATATAAGCGTTTGGAAAGTAAAAGATTCGTGTAACGTGTTTTTCGAAACGTAGAAATAAATCGAACATCTATGATGGCATCATCATAACTACACAAGCCCATATTAATTGGAGAATTTAGGCCAAAATTATGAGTAGAATTTTTTCTTAAAGCACCAAGAGCAGTTTCATAGGCAAAATTTTGAAGAATTTTGTCGATCAACCTGTCAGACATACACATTTAGCCAGACTTGTCATCTGGCTCGAACCTTCGATATTATTTTAATTGTATTTAATTGATTCGTGTAACGTGTTTTTCAAATAAATTGAACATCTATACTACGCAAGCCCATATTAATTGATTTTTTATGTTATTTATGTTAGGGTTAAATTGGAGAATTTATGCCAAAATTGTGAGTAGAGATTTTTTCTTAAAGCACCAAGAGCGGTTTCATAGGCAAAATTTTGAAGAATTTTGTCGATCAACCTGTCAGACATACAGCATTTAGTCAGACTTGTCACCTGGCTCGAATCTTCATTTTAAACTTGGATTAACTTCGATATTATTTTAATTGTATAATAAAACACTATGAGTTGTTTTTAAAAAGGGCAATTATTCCACGTTGATTTACGTGTTATTACAGCCGTTTTCAAAAATTTGTGGAAAGATGCAGATCACTATACCATGGAGAATTCATAATATTTCCCAGATTTCCAGACCAGCTTTAATCGGATTTTTAATTTTTGCTAAGCAGAATTTCCACATTCTTCAATTCCCCATATGGGTATATAGAAATCGTTTTCCACATCTTTTTGAAAACAGCTGTAATAACCGTCATATTCATATGAAACGTTGAATATTCTCCCAGCGTCGCACTTAACGTTAAGGTGATTTTTTTATTAGTGTTCCCAAAAAGTACTTTGCACTTATGGGGCCCACTGCCCCGGGGAAATAATCACGAGTCCCTGAAACGTTGAATTTTATTCCGCCGTGTCGGGGAAATAATTAAAATATTCCCCCAGCGTCGCACTTAAGGTGATTTTTTATTAGTGTTCCCAAAAAGTACTTTGCACTTATGACTTATGGGCCCACTGCCCGGGGAAATAATTAAAATAATTAATAAACACGAGTCCCTGAAACGTTGAATTTTATTTCACCGTGTCGGGGAAATAATTAAAATATTCCCTCCAGCGTCGCACTTATGGGCCCACATAAATAATTAAAATAATTAATAACACGAGTCCTGTCATGTCGTCATATTCATATGAAACGTTGAATTTTATTCCTCCGTGCCCCCACCGTCCCGGGGAATAAATAGTACATAGTCTACATAGTCTTTAATTCAACTCATGTAGGATTTACTAATTTGGAGGTCGTCTAAACTCCGACCCTAATTTGTACAATTAACTAATATTTGTAATTATTTGTTGCACCATACATGTGAGTAACAATATTTATGAACTTGAATACTTAGCATTTAAATATATGCCGTCGATCTCCGGAAATGCGTACATTAATATAATATATTTATCGTTATTTATTACAGTATTTGGTCCCGGAGAGTCGAGTTCGACAGGTAGCATGTAATCACGTATCCGAAAATTTTCGAGATCGTGTGAAAATAATTTTTTTACAGAAAAGTTGAAATGACTCAAAATTTTAAATAGGAAACCACCTAACAGCATGATTTAATGTAAAATTTACTAATTTGAACTTAATTATTCTAAACTGACTTTAATTTTTGAGTTGCTACCTAAAATATATCAATAATTTAAAAATGAGCGATGAGGTAATGATGCAAAAAAAGGCAATGGAGAGTGTGCTTTAGACTACATTATTATAGCAATGTTTCATTATGTCAAATTATAAAAATATCGATAACACCATATCAAAGGTAAAAATTACAATTCTCAATTTCAAAATGGAAAACCTTGCCAACGAAAGCCTTTTCATGATCTTCGAAAACTTAAAGTCTAATTATAAAACCTTACGTTCCTGTCTCCTCGTGAACCGTCAATGGGCTAGATTCGTTGTTCCTATCCTATGGAGAGAACCAACTTGCAACCATAGATGCTTAATTGAAGTATTTATTAATACATTAAATGAAGAGGAGAAAGCCATATTAATCCCTTTCAAAATTATCCCTCCAAACGATCCAAAAAATTTATACTCACGATTTACATGAGGGGATAAAATATTGGCTCCGATACGAAAAATACGATTATTTGGATAGTAATAATATAAACGCTGTTAACTTCTCTTTGGTGGCCATGATTTTAAGGACGAGCAAGAGACTTCAATATCTAAGTTGCAACAATATTATTTCTAACAAAATAATATTTGAAGACCTTTATAAGAACACAAACATTATTACTTTAAATTATTCCACAGGAAATTATGACTCAAAGTCTTTTAAAGGAATAATGAAAATTATTCGTAAAAATTCAACAATCACCTCTTTAATTCTCGAAAATAATACTATCAACTCCAATAAGGTGAAGGAATTGGCCAATGACCTTTGCAATAACACTACTTTACGATCATTGAGCCTTAGTAAAAATAATATTTGTCACAATGGAGCTCTAGCACTTAACAAAGCGCTTAATACTAATGCGACATTGGCTACATTAAATCTTGGCTGGAATCGGCTTGGACCCAAAGGAGGAAAAGCGTTGATAAATGCCATTTGCCATAATACTGCCTTAACTTCTCTCGAAATGAACAATAATCAGATTAGTTTTGAAGACGAAGAAGTATTGACCGAAGCTTTTTGCAAAAACGCCACGTTGACAACCTTGAACCTTAGCGATAATGAACTTAGTTTTAAAGAAGGTGAAGCTTTGGCGAAAGCAATAATTATCAATAATACTTTGAATTCTTTAAATCTTGAAAATAATCGACTTAACTCTCGAGGAGGAAAAGCAATTATAGAGGCTCTTTCAATAAATACCAATTTAAAGGTTTTAAATTTATGCAGTAATGAAATTAGCCTCAACGAAGAAACAAAATTGAAAGAAGCTTTATCAAACACTACACTTACTTCTTTAAATCTTGCCGTTAATGAACTTGGCTCGAGAGAAGGAAAAGCAATAGCAGAAGCACTTTTTAATAATACAACACTGACTTCCTTGGATCTTTACTCGAATAACCTTGGCCCCGAAGGAGGAATTATGTTAGCGGAAGCTCTTTATAATAACACAACATTAACCTCCTTAAACATCGGTATGAATAAAATTGGCTCTAACGGAGGAAAAGCATTAGCAGAGGCGCTTCTCATGAATGATACTCTGGTTTCTTTGGACATAAGTCTTAACAAACTTTTCCCAGAAGGAGGAAAAGCGATAGCTGACGCACTTTGCATAAACCGTAGTACCCTAGCCATGGCGAAAAAAATTCTCAGATCACGTGCCGTAGATCAATTTTTATGGATTTCTATTGGACGCC